CCATTTGTGCATTTGGTTTAAAACGAAAACATAAAATTTCATAAGATAATAATTAAAAGTCAAAGTCCTTCAAGCACCAATTTTTAATCACATATAAAATTTCGGAACCATTTTCATTCTTCAAGCTCACAAAATTTGCGGCTCACCTTGAAACTGTCCAGGTTGAAGTTATATACTGCAGTTTATTATTTTGCCAATATTTGATTTTAACAATAATTTAACCACAACGTTGTAACTATTTTAATAAATTAGTTAAATTTTCATTTCACTTGTAAATTTTTCACTTCACAGAGAAAGAAAAAAAGGTAATCATATCTATTTACAACATTAAAACGAATAAAATTTATAAAACTAGTTATGAGTTTAATATTTAATTAATTGATTTCATTTTTAAACAAAAAGTGATTAATGTTATTTCCAGCGAAAACTTTTATCAAAATATTTCACACATGATCGTACAACTATATTTGTTCAAATATCAATGGTTTCTCTTATTAAACTTACTGCAAAAAAAGTAAAAGTTAAGTTGGCAAATTTTTATGCAGTCAACAAAATTATAATTGCGAGTTAAATAAAATTACCTAATTGTGGTTTGTTATTTTTTAATTAGTATGTTTCTTGCATTAATATATAATACGTATACCGATTTACATTTTCAGGAATTATAATAACTTCATAGAAATTACAATAGATTGCATGAATATAATTTTTATTACAAATTATATTAGCTACTACTCGATTTAATAGTGATTTAATTGTGTGATAAATGCCGATTTAGTTTATATTAATTTTATTTATAAAAAACTTTAAAATAAATAAGAAACATTTTTCATACAATATAACCAAAACATTTCTATAATAGCAGTATTACTACTTGATAATAGTAATAATAAAATTGGACGCTGGGAGCTTAAGAATCGAAAAGACTATAATTTTTTCTCAATTTTACACTTTTCTATAAAATTAATCCCAAATAAAACACTGTAAGCTCTAACAAATTTCTATAAACTAAGTTCACAATAATATCAACTTTAAATAATTTGCAATTAATGCAATTCAACATTTTGCAATAATATCGGAAGTTAAAAATCAAAAATACAATAAATCAAATAAAAATTAATTTTTTATAAATATTTTTTAATAAATGTTGATTAAGAAAAGACACACGTAAGTCTGGTTTCGCTTATATGAAATAAAAACCCTCATTATTACAATTACTTTGTGGTTTACATTAACTTAGATACATATGTATATACACTTTTGCATATACATGCGTTGTATGTACATAAAGATATACGCGTAGATTAAATTATTCATAAGTAAATTCTTTTCTGACTACGTATTGTCATTATCATTAAACATATTTTTAAATATCCTTTACTTAATTTCAAAAACCAAAAGAATACGACCTTTTTTTCCATTCCCCTTAGTTATAAGTTTAGAAAATTTTTATTTTAAATGAGATCGTAAGGTCAATCCCAAAAGAATTGAAAATTTTTACGCCTTTTTATTGAGGACATGTAATTTAAAAAACCATTTTTAATGAGCTCATAATTATATAAAAAAAAATTAAGTAAAAAAAAACTTAAACTAATAATAAGCCACAAGTAATCGTGATAAGGATATTGTCACCAAAAGTGTTACCATTGGGTTTAATTGGGTTACCAATTAAAACCTTATAAAAGTTAAAAAAAACTTAAGAACGTCAAGGCAAGACTTTATTTGTCAAGTCCTAACAACATTGACAAGAGAATAACGCATAATAGTTCGCAATTTAAACCCACAATTTCCTGCAGCAGATTACCTAAATATATTAGACTTCGGCTCAAGTTAAATTTTTCAATCATTGTTAATTTACATTTTACATTCTACACAACGAAACTAGTGACTAGATTCTGCAACTAGAACTTTCAATCCAATACAAGTTATTTAAATAGACGGAGAGTTTTTCGGATACTTTCAGTTTTTAAAGGTAAACAAATGTTAAATAAATCTTACATTTACCATAACAAATTTTTTATTATAATCTTTTATATAGATTTAATCATTTAAATATACAATTTTCTCCTCTTCATTTTGTAAAGGTCTCATCAAACAGATTACTTAAATTTTAATTATATAATTACATTATCATATTCATATTTAACACATACCTATTCTCAATCTCATTAACAACTTTATGTCGTACATGCATATAATATATTCATATGTATACTAAAATATCAATAAAAGATAACCACATTAACCACGTTTGATGTACACGAGAAAAAAGAGAGAGAAACTGTTATCTTTGATAAAAATTTTCTCATCAAAACCTCAATATTTTTGCCAGAGCAAAGTTACAGAAGTAATGAAATGCTAAAAATGTCTTCTTCCTCTACATTTTTGTATATACAAAAATATATTTTTAAACCACAAACAAAACAAAATGAAAAATCTTTAATTTAAAAAAATAAAAATAGAAAGTTTTATGAATATCTACACATACATTAGTAGATACATTATGAATACTTGGATATACGCATGCAGTCGAAAACTTTAATATTATCTAGATTGTATAAAAAGTAAGAGGACCAATTAAAAGGACCTTTTTATATAATTTTTCTCAGCCAAATTGTATATTAAATACGAATATTATTGCAAATAAATATGTAAATGTCCTGAAATTTTTTTTGATTTTGAAATAGATTGTTAATTCATGTACAAATTTCCATTTCAGTTAATGGAAATAGGTAAGTGGTTTGAGTTAGTGCTGCGATCATAGCAAATTTGAAACTATTAAAATTGATTTTAACTTACTTAAGCTTCAATTTCCCGAAAATTATCACAAGAATCTTTGAATTCGTTATATGCAAAAGACGAAAACAATTTTTTAATTTCTTTTTTTAATTGTAAAAACTATATAGTAAAAATAGCGATAAGTAAAACTTTTTATAGAATTTATTTTTAAATTTAAATAAAATTTCATTACAAAAAAGAAAAAAAATAAAGTAAAACAAATGTCCTTATCATTCATTCTATGCGTCAAAAGTAAAATAATCTTTATATTATGTAAACAAACGTAATGTGACGATATCTCGCTGCCCTTATTACAAATTTTAGCGCTTAGTTTTTTTATTATTTTTCGTTAAACTTTTTCATTTTGATATTTTTCCACTAGCATATCTCCATTATATTTTGGTTGAGCTTTTGAAAACAATAACTGTGTCAAAACCAAAGCATAATTTTGCTGTTTTTAACTTTTTTTTATATGATACTTTTTCTCTTTTTACCCGATAGAACTACTTATGTCATATGTGAATATTTGAAAAAAATAATAGCAACAAGAAAATTAGAAACAAAAAAATACGGCGCATTATAGTAAAATTATCCGCGCGCTGACCTTCAATTATTCACACCAGTGCTATGCTGTGGAGTATTTTGTTCTCTTGTTCTCTATGTATTGTTTCGTTTTTACTTTAAAAACTATACACATAATGTACACGTACGTATCTATATTGCTTGCCCTTTGGTTGTTTTATTTAACGAAAATTATTCTAACATTGATGCTGTGAGGTTAAATTGTGCAATAATTCAATTTGAGTTTTACTACAATCACATAATATACGTGATACATTTTAAAGTTGTGTTTTTCAAATTTATGTATGTATATTACATCGATCATTACACCAATGGGTACGGACCAAAATGTGCAAACGATATACATATATTTAACATGTTTTTTTTTTAATTCCCCTTATCGGAACCTGGGCTTTCCAAAAATCTTCTGGAAGAAAAGCCGTAGGTTTCGGCAAAACCTTTTTAACAATACGCAATATGATCCACATTTGACAACTTTCAATTTTAGTATATAACAATAGCTTAAAGCTTTAGTATATGGCAGTAGCAGGGTTTGAGAAACTTCAGTATAACTCTCAAAAATTTTTTCCTTTCTCAAACCATAAAGGGACTGCTCTAAACAACTTCTCAAGATTTCATGTTGATTGATAAAATGAAAATGATTATTAGTAAGGAAGATTTACATAATGCGTTCGAGAATACTTATTAAAATTATTATATACCTGCTCTTGGACTATACCTCTGCCTTTTCTTTTATATTTGTTGGGTAACATATGTACCCTGTTTACTTATGTTTCCCAGCAAATATAAAAGGAACTTGCCCTGTTGCACATTTTTTTTTTTTTTTCCTTTTCTACTCCCTTTGGGAGCATAGGGCATCTACAAAACTCCTCCATCTGACCCTGTTGCGGGCTAGAAGTTTTATTTCAGGCCATGATTTGTTTTTCTCCTCGATTTCTTTATTTATTGAGCTTCGCCATGTTTCTTTTGGTCTGCCCACTTTTCGCTTGCCCTGAGGGTTCCACTCTAAAGCCCTTCGCTGAATATTATTTTCTGCTCTTCTCAGCGTGTGACCAATCCATTTCCATTTTCTCCTCTTGATTTGGCGATCTATGGGTTCTTGCCCCGTCAATTCCCAAAGGTCCGAGTTCTTGATTTTTCTCGGCCAGAATATTCTGCAGATTGATCTAAGGCATTTATTTATAAAGATTTGTATTTTGTTTGTCCAGTTTTTCCTTAATAACCATGTCTCACTTCCATATAGGAGCACGAATTTTATGCATGAGTTGAATATTCTGATTTTTGTGCCCCTAGCTAAGTGGCGTTGTTTCCAGAGAGGCCATAGTCTCCCAAATGCCGTTCTTGCAAGTGTAATTCGATTCTCCATGTCCCTTTCAGCACCTCCATATGTAGTAATTATACTACCAAGGTAACAGAATTCCGAGACTTCCTCTATTTCTGTGTTTCTTACTTCTAGAGGGGCATTGCGTTAATTCTCATGCTTTTTGTTTTGTGTGTGTTTATTCGGAGACCGACTCTTGAGGCACTTTGATCTAGTTCTGTTATCTTTTCTTGCATATCACGGTGCGTGTGGGCAAGTAGGGCTATGTCATCTGCATATTCTAGGCTTTCGAGTCTACTTATGAGTGTCCACGTTATACCTCTGGCAGTAACTGTTGCTCTTCTTATAACCTCGTCCAGGACTACGTTGAACAGGAGTGGGGATAGGGGGCATCCCTGCTTGACTCCGGCTCTCAGTTTTATCGTATTGCTTAGCTGGCCCTGGTGAAGCACTCTTAGCTCTGCATCTTCATATAGCGCTCTTATTATGTTGATTAATTTTCGTGGTATGCCTTTACTTACTAAGGAGTGCCAAATTGCTTCTCTGTTGATTGTATCGAAGGCCCTTTCAAAGTCTACGAAAGTGATGTACAGTGGCGAACCCCATTCGACTGATTGTTCAGCTATGATTCGCAGCGTGTTAGACTGGTCGATACAACCACGGCCTCTTCTGAAACCCGCCTGCTCCTCTCTTAAGCTTGATTCTATTTTATTTTCAATTCTGGCGTGTATTATGAGCGCGAGTACTTTGACAGCCGCATTCAGTATTGTTATACCTCTCCAGTTTTTGCATTCTGTTAGGTCCCCCTTTTTTGGTAATTTTACTATGATGCCTTTCTTCCAACTGCATGCTATTTCTTCTGTACTCCAGATCTTATTTATTAGTGGCTGCATTATTTCGGCTGTTTTATTTGGGTTGGCTTTCAGTAGTTCTGCGGAATGCCATCATCACCTTCAGCTTTGTTATTTTTGAGTCTATTTATGGCATCTATTATATCCCTTTTATTTGGCGGGTTCAGGTCTATTCTGGTGTTGCGACTACTATTATTGATTTCTTGATGTTGTTCTTGAATTTGTCATCTCAGTAGTTGTTCTTTTGTAGACGATAAAGACTGGCCCTCTCTGTTTTTGATTGGTTGGTTATGATTCTTGGACTTATTTGACAGCGTTCGTATGTTGTTATAGAGCGCGCGCATATTATTTAATTCCACTGATTTTTGTGCTTCTATGGCGATCTTGTTGTAATAGCTTCTCTTATCTTTCCTTGCTGCTTTCTTCACTTCTTTGGCTTTCCCTTTATATTGGATCCTGAGCTCCATACTATTTGACGCCAAGAGCTTTGTTCTTAGATCTCTTCTTTCTTCAATTTTTCTCCATGTCGTGTCTGAGATCCATTCTTTTCTTTCTTTTCTGGTAACGCCTAAGACCTCTTCTCCTACTTGTCTGAATATACTTTGCATATCTTCTTCACTCGCAATTGTCTGGTTTCTCATTTTCTCGTCAATTTTTGATACAAATTCTGCTTTTGTATTCTCATTTTTGAGCTTTTGAGTGTTGATTTTCCTTTTTCTCTGAGTGTTATTACTTCTAATGGTTCCAGGTTTTAGGCTGATATCTGCTGTGAGAAGCATATGGTCGGACCCCACATCAGTGCCCCTCCATGTTCTTACATCTAGGAGAGATCGCCTCCATTTGTGACTAATGCATATGTGGTCGATCTGATTTCGGGAGCGCTGGTCCGGCGACGGCCATGTGTATTTATGTATCGATTTGTGCGGGAAGATGGTTCCGCCTATCACCATGTTGTGTTCTTGACATGTCGCAATCAGACGCTCGCCATTGTTGTTCATTGTGCCCAGGCCATGTTTGCCCATTACTGTTGCACATAAGATGGCAAAAAATTTCAGGGATAATTCTTTCATCAATTTCTTTGATCGGAGTACAGATATACTCGTTTTCTAGCATAGCCTTTTGAAAAAAAGGTACCAGATTTTTGCTGCATATAAATAAATGCTTACAGCTTCGGACATGCAACATAATCACCATAAAATAACCACCGGGGTTCTGTTTAACAGGAGATCTTTTTTTTCAGTCTTACAATCAATTTGCTTTCATCCATTGTTTTCGAGATAAAACGCGATAAAGCCAGATGTTTTTTCGTATCCATATCTGCACCCTTCTCACCCATACAATTTTAAATTTTCGCAACTTTATGTAAAACACCCTGTATGTGTATGTATTGCTAAAAAAATTTTTTCTATACGCTCTATTGAAAAGCCTATACCCGTTTCGTATTGAGAAGTAATAAATTAATTAAATACAGAAAAGTCAAAATTCTTTTTGACTTTTCTGTTGACTCCGAATAATTTAATAGTATAAAAATTAAAAAAAATAAGAATTTTTCAAAGCAAAGTTCTATTTATGGATTTAATCTTACTATCAAATAAAAATTATTTCTTTGAACATTCGATTGAAATATTTTCTAAAATTTAACATTTTAAACATTTTGTTGCTATAGTTTTAATAAGCAAAAAATTATACATTTTGCCCAAATACAAGAACAACAATTTTTCACAAAAGTAAAATTAAAAAACATATTTCATGCATTAAAAAGCTAGGGCCACCCTGATGTACTGCTTATTTTCACCTAATTTTATTTTTTGTTTGACGATGAGGTCCATGACTGCACAATCCTTTCTTTACTTCCGCGGTTCTAAAAAGTTCTGCTCTTTTGACACTTGCTGCGACATTGTTATGTTTGCGTTTTCTTATCGCTGTATTTATTTCACTGAGGCTTAGCGTATTTTTAGAAAATTTTTGAATTTGCTGGTCTTCTGATTGTGTTACTACCATGCCATTCGTCGCTTTGACGTATAGCTTATGTTGTTAATTGATTCAAAGTGTTGCTTCCATGACCATTTTAGTCTCAGACAGAGCTGTTCAAGCAGAACATGGAGAAAATACACATCCAATGTGTTCTGCTAGTACATATTAGATCAATCTGGTTTCTTGTTCTGTTGTTTGGCGAGGAGGAGGTCGTATATTTATGTAAGTCTTTGCGCGGGAAAATGGTACAGCAAATCCTGAGTTTGAAGGTCTGCAAAACTATCGGTATTTTTCCATTGTTTTTTCTTCTACTGTTATCGTTATCCACTGTCGCGTTCAGATCACTCAGTAGTATTACTATATCCCTTTGCGAATGCTAAGCAACGTCGCATTAAGTTGGTTGCATAAGTCGTCACATTGACGACGATAATATATCGGAATTTACTGCGAAAAGGAGCTTAATAATTCGATCAGGGTTTGCGTTCCAGGTTTCCAAAGCCGTTCTGAGTTTTACAGAATGAACAGTCAGTTTCAGTGAATTTCAGTCGAACTTTCGATACAATTCAGCTCTTCGTCGACTTTCGATACAATTATCCGCGGCGCAGTATGGAGAGCGAACTTAAAACAGCGAAACCCCAGACAAAGTAATCCGCATGATGCGAGCGCTACAAGAAGAAATGGTACAGCCTTCGAATTACCCACTTTTTAGAGTTTTTAGAGTTGTGCTGGAAAACGTACTACAAGATTCTTACTCACAGAGAAAAGGCATAACCTGGGATCTCATTCAACACCTAAGAGAGGTCTAAATTACATGAATAACATATAACTTCTTGCCAGAAACTTTGCCAGACTATGTCTTGCAAAGCTAAGGAAACATAAGTTACTAAAAAGAAACTTATATTATATATTAACTTTAAGTAACTTAAATAAGTTACTTAAAAACTCACTAGAACAAGCCATTCTGGAATTCAGCAAAGTTCGTCAGCAGTACTATTACATCCGACGACGGGGAGTTGGTAGATGTAGAGTACTGTAGAAAGCCTTGTGTCATATTTTATTCTTTAAGATAACGAGGCACACAAATGTTGAAAATTCAACGAACGATATAGAAAATTATTTATCAAAATTATTTGAAATTGCATTTATTTTATATATTCGGCGCTTTTGTGAATAATAAAAAAAAACTAGAATAGATAAGTAACAATAAATTATTTTAAATGTCGGAGATAATTGACATACAGTTTTATGCATAACCTCATGTTTTCTATATGCCTAGTGCTTTTTGTACATATGAATATGGTAGCTACTACATAAACACTTCCAACTAAAAATGTTGAATACAGCACCAAATCCCTTTTTTCAAAATTTTAACTTTGCAGTTTCATACTTTCTGGGCTATGAACAGCTTATGAAGTTATATTGCAGCTCCCACAAGAAGTCGAGAAATTTCAACGAATTTTATCAAACATAATCGCCTTAAAAATATATTTGCTTATGCAAATTTTCAAAACTATAAATTCTGGGAAATGCCCAAGTACGTTTTTGGAGTGGTATAACAACTATCACTAGTGCTCATAAGATTTTAACAATTTTAACTAATACAGCCATTTAATCATATTTGTTTGTGCAAAAATTCAATACTGTATGTTGAACAGATTTTCAAATATAGCCAAATAAGTTTTCAAATCATAAGGCAGCTATTCGAACCAGAACCTCGATCATATCCAATTTAAATAGCGTTCTGGAATTTAATACAATAAATCATTTACGAAAATTTGTAAATCTTAGTTCAATTAGTATGAGTTGTCGTTGGGACGGACGGGCGGACGGACAGACAAGCAAACAGGCAGACATGGTTAAATCGACTCAGAGCAATCGACGTTTATCTAAAACATATGCTTGTGTCTATATCTCAGACCATTGTTTCATAGCGTTACAAACGGGAAGACAAATTTAGTAAACCCTTCGACCATATGTACAAAAAATTCTTAACACAAACTTCATAATATAAATAGGAAAAAATGCATACTTTCAGGAGAAAATCTTCATAAAGTACAGGAAAATAATTTTTTTTTTTCAAAATTTCCTAAATTTCAAATTTCTAATTTCAATTTCTAAGATTTTTAATTCTAATATCTAATATCTTACACAAATTAAAATTAATAATACTAAAAAGAATATGCGCCATTTTGGTAATACATACATACCTGAATTAATTAATTAAATATTGTTCTTTTTAAATTCTTCAGATTTTTGGCTTTCATTTTCATTTTATTATTTTGCTTCATTGAAATTTTCAATAACAAAATTCGAAATTTACTTTAGTGGCCATTTTGTTTCTAAATACTTTCTTTATTTTTTTTTACATAAATAACATTTATTCAAATATACTGTTTTTCTAAAAAAAAATTTTCAATACTTATTTTGAGCATTAATTGATCTTTAAGTTTTCAATAGTTAAATTTAAATAATTTTATTAAATTAAAAATTTGCAATTTTTAAAGTTCGAATTGATTTCACATTAATTTCAAATAATTAGAGTATTTGTTTTAATTTTCAAATGTTTGATCGATTTTAAATTTTTTTTAATTTTTTAAGTTCAAGAAAATTATTTAATGTATTTTGTTTTTTTAATTAAAATATTTTATTAAAATTTTTTTGCTAAATTGTTTTTTGGAAAATTTTCCGTACACAACTACAGCCACAACGCAGAATTAAAACTATTCAAAATAGGTTTATTTTTAAATAAAAAATTTCTTTTTCTTTTTTTATATTTTGTATTTTTAATGTGTTGGTTCAATTTGAATAAAATTTTTTTTCAAGAAAGTATAATCGGTACTATACACGCCAGTGCTAGAACAGAATAAGTAAGGTAGAAATCCAGAGTATTCAAGGATTTTTAGTTTACTTAATATGAACGTCAATTATGAAAATAATAATACAAATAACATATCGCGATGGAAACGCTCAAGTTATATTTGGTAAACTCAAATTTTGTTACTCAACATATTATTTTCTTCAATA